ATTGATTCAATTGTCATCATTTGTAAGTCGCTTTGGATTAAAGCGTCTGCTAAATGACTAATGAAATGTTACACAAAACTGTAGTCAACATACTGTTTTTGAGAGCTACATTTACTTGATGATGACTAGATGGGAAAACAGAATATTAATAATAGTAATAATAATTGCTTGGGTTAGGAAAAAACCCTGTTTATCCTTTAAAAAAAAAAATAGTTTACTGAGTCAGTATCAAAAAGTGTGTCAAAAAATGCATGGACAGCTGAAAGCAAAAAACATCAAATTGTCAATATAAGAATCAATATTGTAAAGAACATTTCAATTAAATATTTAGATCTATAACCCCAGCTGACACATAAACAGCTTGTATGCAACCATTCAGCTGCTGGTAATCATAATACATAAAATAAAAATATTTATAAATAAAAAGTATCATATAAATAAAAAGACTTGACATTGTACTAAATTTACTTTTATTACAGCGGATCCTCTGACCAGTGTTCCTCCATAAACACAACAGTAATTACAGAACAGAAAAAATAATTAATTTATCTCTAGACTTTTGTTTTCTCTGATTCATGAATACTTTAATACAATTTCAAACCATTTATTCTGTATTTTTAAACTTTTTGTATAATCTTTTTAGACATTCAATAACATGATACACGATCTATACATTTTGATACAGGTTACATATGAGTTATAGTGGTGATGCTGAGCCAGAGGAAAATGGACGCCTGTGAAACGGCACACTAACACACTACTTTTCAAAAGAAATTCAGTACGCAGTATGTTAGTATGCCATTTCGACCACGGCAAATGAATACTGATGTTCTTTACAAGAAATGTAGCCCTTCCCCGTAGACCAGCCCCTCTCTATCGCTCCCCGTTTCATTTCTTTGTAGTGTTGGCGATAGGAGTGTCCAGGTCCATCAGAACTGAAATAACCATCACTCTTTCATAGCCTGTCAACAGGAGAGGAGACAATGCAGTAGTGACCAGGCTTGGCAGCTGTGGGATGGCACAGTGTTTGACCAGAGGTTGAACCTCCATTATTTAGAAAATAAGTTTGCATTTCAATCTAATATTTCTCATATATCAGTATTACTTGCATATCCCCTAAATTCAGTCAGTAGGACAAGTTTCAAACTAGGATAAAATAAAAAATAAAGTGTGTAATCTATATCGGTGGCAGGTACGACACAATTATGAGTAATGCCAACCAAATTCAAACAGCCCTCACCCAAAAGGTATTAAAAAACAAACAAAATGGATCATCTGTGTGTTACAAAATATCAAAATGACCTATGGGAGGATTCAAAATAGAAACATTTGCCTCTTTTCTGTGCCTTTTATAGCTCTTATGCTGCACCTTCTGACATTCGCATGAATGGAGGGTTCAGAATAAAGAGGACCCAAAATGTTCCTGTGATCAATAGACAGACACATTTTCTAATACAAATGGAAACACAAAGTGTGCAGAGGTGACGTGTAAACACACACTACTCCCTGAAGTTCAACTCTGAGGCCCCGGAGCCCCGAGGCTCCTTGCACACAGGCCAGAAACCCCTTTAAAAGCGCAAGGTACATAGTTTACAATTCTTAATAGATTTCTTTTAAAACATTTGTCTATACGCAGAGAATC